ATGACTATGATATGCAGGTCCTTAACTGTTTGATGAGCTTTTGCAGTCCTAAGGGATGTCTCTAGCTAATTACTATGAGAGGGGAGAGAGAGTGTGCACTCAGTGTTCGCTTCCCCACAAAGCAACAGGCACAGAAGGATGCACAGTGCTAGACTGTGATGCTTCTGGCATCACTTAAAATCATACGTCAAAAAACTCAGCTGGCAGGAGAACGACACAATATATTGAGAGGCAGTGCTAGAAACAGAAATGCTTGGCTCTTGCCTCAGCACCTACCTGGTGTAAGTGGAGAAGTAGCCATGAAGAGCTACTGCTAGAACAGCCAGGATGGTTGGTGCAGTGAGGAAATTCCACAGCTTTTTTTTTATTTATTTATTATTTTAAATTTTTTTTTGAGGAAATGAAGTCTAGCAAGAAATGAAATGTAGTAAAACCATGCAAAGAAGGAACAATTTCTGAAGCAAATCCCCCACACAAAAAATAAAAATAAAAAATTAGACGCTGGACCTCTTTCTCTTGCTCTCAAACTCCTGGAGAAGCTTTCTGAACTCCTGATTCCCAAACCCTACCAACTGTGAGGCTGTGCACACGTTAGCATCTGTGCATACAGCAACCAGGCACACAGGGCTATGCATTCACCTCACACACCAAGGCAGGGGTGGGCTGCCTGGCCTTTCCCAAGTCTCTGCCTCAGGGAAAGGAGCTGTCAGGGCTTCCCTCTAATTGGAGAATCACTGTGAGACCCTAGATAAACCAGACAGCTTAGTTTCCCAGTGTATTACTACAGTAGTAATCCTGCTTGGTCCAAGGAGAACTCAGGCACACAGCTGTGCTGAAATGCAGAGGTTTCTCCTAGGAAGGTGAACAAACCCCTGTGTTACAGGCAGGGCACATCCTGACCAGAGCTTAGCATAATTTTTTTTTTCCCCCCTCAATAACAACTCCCTGAAGCATTTGTAAAGGAAACATATGTGCCTTTGTCTTTGAGCATCTCAGGGAGATGATTCTCTCATCTGGAGCTGTTCAGGTCTGAGTATTTGTTTGGAAATTCAACATTTTTCAGTGCATTTAACAACAACAAAAAAACCCCACAAAAGCGACTGTTAAGCACTCAGTTCCTCGCTGCCCTGTATGGTGTTTGACACCTATGTTAGCTACAGGTTTTTATTCAGTTCAGAATTGTAATCCTACATTCTCCCAGCATTTCTTCCAAGGTTCTTGTCCTCATTTCACTTTTGGCCCTTCTTTTCATCTTCCTTACCTAATATATGTGCTCACACACATGGATGTTAAATGCTGACAGAAACCACAACTACTTCATGAAGTACTGCAAGTTTTTATTCTAGTTTTAAGGGCACTGGGATTCTCCCCCATCCCTTCCCACTGTACTCCCTTCTCCTACTAAAAAATCACTAATTTCCAGTACACAGACTGTAGTACATGGGATCAGAAGCCACTGTTCTTACAGCATGGGCCCTGGAAGAAGCAGATACTGCTTAACTGAACTACCAGATGATACTGCAGCACCAGATTTTTCTTGTCTGTAGTCACCAGGTTAATGCTATGGTATCTTTCTAGTTCTCATTCCAAGTCAGCAATTTTCTGGTTCACTTCAGGCAGGGTGCCATTTAAGCACTCCGAGAATGAAAGACTGTTAAAGAACTGATTTTCTGGAGCATTAACACACGTACAAACTAAATTAAAAGGCTGGAGATTCTCTTATTTTTCTCCTCTCCTTCCTGGCACTTGTGTTTATCTGCCAACCCTTTCCCCCTTCATCCTTCTTTTTTTCCTTTTTCCTTTTCCACTTCCTTTTCCTCTCCTCTCCCTTCCCTTTCCATTTCCCTTTCCCCTTTAACGAAAGTCAGCACCCTAATATCTCATTAATCCCAAATTTTCAGTGAAGCCTCACAAAGTCTTCCACAGAAGCTTTTCTAACAATGAAGCAAGTAAATTCAGTTCAGTCATTTAGAATTATAGAACCGTTTCAGGTGGAAAAGACTTCAAGATCAGAAGTCCAACCCAGCACTGCCAACTCCACCCCTAAACCATGCTCCTGAGCACATCTACACATGCATTAAATACCTCCAGGGTATCCAGTGACTCCACCACTTCCCTGGGCAGCCTATTCCAGTGCCTGACAACCCTATTGGTGATTTTTTTTTTCCCCTAATATCCAATCTAAACACCCCTTGTTGCAACTTGAGGCCATTTTCTCCTGTTCTATTACAGATTAGGTAATTATTTTAAAATTTAGGAAAGGAGTGGTATTTTCCCTCTGCAATATAAAAAGATACTGGTGATATGTGCTACTTATTCCACTGCTGTTTGTTCAAAATATTACCCAGACCAACTACCAAAGCCACCTCCCATGGAATACAAGCCAGCAAGTAACACAGTAAAACTAAATTTATCCCGTCATATGCTGAGAAGCGAAGAGTTTGTAACATGCACGGAAGATGAGGACACTTCTGAAGCTTCAGGGAACACTTAATTTATTAAAGAATTGCCTGACTTCTCTCTTCGACTCCCAACGCATCGTTTTGTCCCCTCCCTGGAAGTGTTGGATGGGGCTTGGAGAAACCCGGCCTAGCGATGCGTCCCTGCCCACGCAGGGGTTGGAATCGGATGAACTTTGAATCCCCTTCCAGCCCAAACCACTCCACGATTCTACGATTCCCTGAATCCCCAGGGCCTTCCCCACTTCTCCCACGATTCCCAAGCGAGGAGGGATTTCTCTCTTCACTCTTTATCCGCAAAAGAAGACTTTAAGCAGCGTTC